AATGTTAAAAAAAAATGACTTCTGTGAGCATATAAGTTATATTAAGAAATAATAAATTGTCAAATACATCCTGTAATTAAAAATCCTTCATAGTATACGGTTGCAAATTCGTTATATAAATTTTTTTCTATTAAATCTGCTCTCCCAATCTGATTTCTCTTGTATTATCGCTAGATGTCTAAGATAGAATTCAAAAGTGTCACCACATTTACTTGTCAAAAATCAGAAAAAAAAAATGAACAAAATTTTCCTTCCGAAGTGGTCCAACTCGAAGGAAAATCCTAAAAAAAATAGAAATAAATGAAAATAAAATCATTGATGCAATCGGTCCCGAAAGTAAAAAGAAAAAAGTTGAAAAAAAATTACAAATCAAACAAAAAAAAACAACGCATACTTCCAAATGATCCAAGCCGAAAATAATTATTAATAAAAGAAAAAATATATATTCGATTCGTTGCGGCCCGTTGCGTAAGAACCCGAAAGTATAAAAGAAATATGAACCGAGATGACTGCGTCTATAGAAACTTTCAACTTATTGTTTTATCCTTTCCTGGACTGTAAAAATAGATCTCGCTTTTGTAATCTTGTTTTATATTACATCACGTCAAGTATCACGTGACGTAACCCAGCAAATGACCACATATGGGCAGTGATGTGCACTTGGAAGAATGGAAGTACCCTTGGAAGCACTTTTGGAAGGGTTGGAAGCATAATTCTCTAATAATTTCATTTGGATTAAAAGCTTCCAACCAAATTTTATACTATTGGAAGCATAAAATGCACATTACTGTATATGGGCACTTTACATTAATATGCTAAAGATGATTGTTTTAGCAAAATAAGTCCAGATTTAACACAAAAAAGTTTCCTCCTTTTCTACTGCAAAGCACCTTCGCATAGTCGTGAAATTTGAAGGACTGAATGAGTCAAGATTTTCTTATTTCGTTTACCATAATTCTGATTATCAAAATAATCATGTAAACAATTACATTGTTTAAATAAAATTTTTGAATAATTGAAAGATGAAAAAGATTTACGTTCATGCTTAATTAATTAATTGAACCTGATGTGAAGTTACCGTTCGAATTTTATGTAGAAATATCCAAAATCATAATCTTTAATCGATTGTCTTCCTGAAGAATCCAAAGAATTATGTTAGAATGATTATATCATATTGTGGAATTCGCAACTTACTTAAGGATCGGCAACCCAACGATAATAAGTAGTAACACGAGAAATATTTAAAATGCTCATCGGTCACGAAAATGCTTGATCCGAAAAAATTTTCCATTAACGGGATTTCAATCGAATTGCTGCACAAAATTTAAAAAATTGAACGGTGCATCATGACAAAATGCAGCTTAAACTAATCATCTAATCAGAGTTTACTAAATATCATTATTTGATGCTTTGTTGAAAATTAAAACGAAAGTATTCAATGTCGCACAAATTTTTTTAACTATAAAATTTTCCAATTACTGTAAACACAAACTAATTTTCTGCGTTTCAAATTCAAAAAAGATTTCTAATATTAATTCTAATATTCGATGTCTTATAACACCATATATCATAATGGATGAACATTTATAAATCATAAAAAGTTATTGTCAAAGAACAAAGCCATAATTAGATGCCCTAATTGGACTTTTCAAAGTTGGATTGCTCCGAAATTGAACTTTAAACTCGGAAATATGGATCTGCCCCAATATAAATTGGGGCAGATCGCACAACACATCCTGGATTCCACATGTATAGTAAGGACTAGATATAGTGTTGATCCGCGCATTCTCACCCCATGACTATCAGTAAAATAAAATTGGAGGTTTCATTTTGCCGATAACTGATTGTCCATCAACTTGGAAGAAGGTATAAATTCACGTAAAATATCATAAATTATCGAGCAGCACCTTCCTCCTTTCGTGCTCTAGGCCTATTGGCCTTATTCAAAGCCGCAATAAGGTTTTAATAATGACTATAGGTTGGCACAAAATCCCGATGAGTATGTTATCTTTCGATGCATAATCGTCTTTGAATTCGTCGTCTACGCAACAGCTTGCCAACACTTTCATTTTTTCGTAATATTTAGCAGCTTTTCTGACGCTTATAGCGGCCTTACAACCTTCAGGCTACCGTTCCTTTAGCTGTTGTTGATATCGAGATTTCGGCGATGAATAACTGCGTCGACAAATACTCTCCTAATAATTGAATAGCTTGTTTGCTGAACCATGCCATAACTCATCAGGAATGAGCGAGATGCTCTATATCGATTTGAAGAGATGCAGCGTATGTCCCAACTTCGTGACCAATCAAATAATCGATGCATTTGGTTATATGTTCTGTAGCATCAATACTTTGCAGTTAGATCAGTTGGAAATACATGATCTAGGTCAGCTTATATGTAATTTTAGGAGTCGGTATAAGTTTCATCGTGTAATTACTTAAATTACATTTGTAGCTTTTATGGTTTTTCTTGGTATAAGACGAAACCGAAAGATTATCCCTGTTTATTTTCAACATGTGGCTGAAGTGACAATATACCCCCCCCCACATCGTAATGTTAACGTTTTTTTAAACTTTTAAATTTGAACATCAAAAGAGATGTCGAATAAGTAATACCACCATCGTCAATATAGAATGCCGAAGGTACGACCTGGTCGCACATATCATAACTGCCAATGAAATAAGAAAAGAATGTATAATAAACGTTTTCTTCATGAGTGAATTTCTTTTTTTTTATTTCTTGTCAAAAAATCAGATAGGTGCATTCTAGGGAGACCACATTCCTTTAAACATTTCGGCATCCTAATTCTTTTTTTTTATTTTTTCATTCAACATTTAAGAAAATCACAACCAGATATTGTCAAACTCCTTTAATTTTACGATTTTCATAATCGGAATTTCATTTTTTATTACTTTGATTTTATTTTTATTAAACTTTAAAACTAGACTACTTTGCATTTTTTTTTTTTTCTAACAATGGATATATATAAAAAAAAAATTTTTTCTGTTGTAAAAAATACATTGTATTATATGTTTATATAAAAATAAAAAGTTCCGAGATCGACAAGTATTAAATATTTGATCTAATATACAGTTCATTAAAATTATATTCTTTATTTCGTCGTCGGATCGAGGAGATCGGATTCACATTTCAACCACTTCTAACAAAATGTCTTAATATGCAAGCGCATTGACAATTTTATTTTAATTACTTTTTTGTACTCAAATAGGTTGGTTTTATTGCCGATTTTTTCTTCTTTTAAGAAAAAAAAAGAGATAAAAAAAAAAAAATTGAATTTCACCGAAAAGGCGTCAGAATGTGCATTAATGAAAGTCAACGTGACACTAAAACAAAAAAATAACCCCCAAAATTTATTTGCACCAAAAAGGTTTCATTATGAAAGAGTGTTGACGCATAAAAGATAATCAAAAATTTTAAAAAAAAAAAATTTGCCGGTTTGCCCAAAAGCAAGATTCAATACCGAAATATATGTGCTTACAAATAATTTCAATACCTCCCTAATACAAAAAAGGAGAAAGGGGAAATGATCTTCGAAATTTCGTACGTAATAATCATGTTATCGATGTGGTGTGTATGTTATAACACTGCAAAGTCAAAGTCCATACCCGATTATCCTTTTTCCTTTATGGCCTCTATCGTGATCTGGACCAAAATTTCTAATAATAAAGGAAAAGAAAATTTGTGACCCTATGGCTATTTCAGCCCGGAAAAAGAGGAAAACGGGCGAAAATGAGCATATTTTGAGCAAGAATGTATTGAATAAATGGCCAAATTGAAGTATTTCTTTTAGATACTTCAGCTTTAGAATTAGGATGGTGGACTACAATCGTAGTGAGAGCATTTATAGTTAGCATTTAGAGAGAGATTCATACCATATTTTTTGTTTTACTTTTTTAATATTTACACGTTCTAATTCAATATAAATAAAGTCCATAACAACCGTAAATTTACTTTACATTTTATTTTTTTATTTTACAAAAAATATAATCAATACAGAAATACAAAAACTAAAAAACCAAATACTTTAATTACTGAAAAAAACCTAACATACATATGTTACTTTCAAATATAAAGGCCGGACCTGGCCGGCCATAATCATTCTAGTTATAATTATTAATTTTCAGCCTTCAACTTGCTTCCTTGTTTGCTGATTTGGAAAATCCTTGATTGTCATGTGACTTATACTAACGTTGTGTCCGATAAATTAAATAAAAAAAGACGTGGTGAAATATTGGATTATTTACTCAATTTTTAGAAAATGCGGTAAATATCTTGTATGAGATTCTCTTATTTCTGAAAAATTTTCAATACTATTCAAAACTTCTAAATATAATTTTGATCCATTGTATATAAAATCAAGAAATTGAATTTTGCCCCCCTTTTATAACAACACAATTTTTTGGCGTGGCATAAGCTGCAAAGTTATTTTATTAGGACCGACTGTAAAAATAAAATAAAATAATATCTTTGCTAATTTATCTATAGGATAATTTCAATAAGTTTCGCCAAAAATGTACACAATATATATATATTTTTTTTTCTTTAAATTCAAACGTCCAATCCAACATAGAGAAAGCTGATAATAAATATTACAATGGAACGGAAAAAAAGAACATACATTATCCATTTACCTCAACCAGCCACTATAGACACTATGGTCCGTCTTGGATCCCATTGGTCGAATTTTTAGTGTTGTAGTGGCCAAGCCCTCTTCTGTTTCTTTTATTTTCTATGTTCTTGAAAGGTGATAGGCTTAATTTAGGTTAAGTTTTTGATGATCTTCTATAGAATAGTCATAGATTAGTCTGAACGAGATTTTCATAATTTCTTCGAATATGTATTTTATTTCAATAAAGATTTTATGGAACTAACGCACTTTTAAAATATATTTTCTTTAAATTCACATTCACATAATTTTTTTTTATTCATGAGGATCTTATTAATAAAATTTAACGTGGGTATTCTTTCTTATTGTTAATCACTTTCCCATTATAGTAAAAATTTCAATCATATATTTAGCAGGTAATGGAGTGTATAAAGGAACTTGAAGTTTTACTTTTAACGAATACACATCATCTATACGGACAATACTATCACCTTTCCATAATGATTTAACAAATTCTCCTTTTTCATTATATAAGTCAAGGCCATGTACGAATGCTTGCTCGTTACTTTTCCAATCTACTTGAATCTCTTCATTACTTGTAAATTTTTTCATCAGCTTTAGGAGAAATGAATTGAATTCCTGTGAACGGGAAAGAAGGAAAAGATTTTATTAAAAATATATATATATATATATTTTTTTTTTAAAAAAAAAAAAAACTTACCATCACATTCACGTTTAGGACGAGATGGAAAAGCTGTATAATAAATAAAGGAAATAGGTCGAAAGATCAATTTTAAAAAGAAAATAAAATGATTAAAAAGATCAATTTAAAATGAAGAAAAGAAAAGAAAAAGAAAAAAGAAAAAGTTACATGAAGGTATATGAATAGCTAGAGCTGACAATGCGATTAAAGAGAATAATAAGAGAATTGAAATAAATGAATTGAATTTGATGACGGTATTCATTTTGTAATTTGTTTGTTTATTTATTTATTTTTTTTTTTTTGTTGGTGGAAAGTTCTTACATTTATTAAAGTTGATTTCATTTTATTTTTTTTTTTTTTTGTTAGATGGAAAGTTTTTATATTTATTAAGTTTTCGTTTCTAATGAATCTTCGTTCAGCAACAAATAAAGAAGATATAAAGATATAAACATCTAAACTATTTGCGAGTATAAAATCATCTTTTGAATTTTTTTGTTCTTTGTAATTAAAATTTTTTTTCAATTTTGCTGAACAGATTGGTTGGCTGAAGCTTAATTAAAATTTATAAAAAAAAAAAAAAAAAATTATTTTCTTTTTTTCATATGTATTTGATTCTAATACGACCGGATTTAAGTTCTTTTAAAAATTTGTAATACGACCGGATATATTTCTTTTTGTTATAAACTGAAATTGATTTTCGTCAACTGAAATTCTGAAATTGATTTTTCGTCTGAAATTGGAATTTTAGACGAAAATCAATAACGATTACGACCAGACCAGATTTATCTAAATGCAATTCAATCGATAATGACCTCACCACCAAGAAGATTAATACCTTTTGTGCTTCATTTTAAGGGCAGCCGATCATTTATTTGGAAAAGTGTTTTCATAGTAAATTTAAATAGTTAGCTTTTTCGTCAAAACGACATTTTTTTTTTTCATTTTGTTAACAAAAAAAATAATTTCATGCGTCACTCTGTTGTCCTTATAGTAGGTCATCATATTTTCAATCGTTATTTTCATCCTATAAAGTTGAGAAAGGGGTGGGATATCTATCATTAGGTTTCCAGGCATTAGTGTAATCCATTATAATGTAAGTTACCTTTATACTTTGATTGTTCGAGAACTCTTTAGAACATGAACTGGTATTAATCCCTTTATTGAATAGTTATATCTATACCGGAAATATTGACCTGACCAATAAGGAGGGAATCGAAAAATTAAATTTTTTGTTCATCTCTCAACAATTTTTTTTAAAACTACCTAACTAAATTCATTGAAAAATATCTTATAAAAACCCATTCTGAATATTTAAGGAAGTATCCGTGGAAACCCTTCAGAGTATTTATTTAGCAAGTACACCTTTAAAGATTTATAGGAAATTTGTATAGACGCAATCAGTTATGAACCGAAACTCATCCTCCTCTCAGATAATTACCCGCTCCTCTATTCTCAGCGGGATGCTCTTAATTTGATTGAGATTGAAATTTGGGAAAATTTAGTTAAATGGGTGTCAAACAAATTTCAAGGCAACCTAATGATAACGTTGATGAATGGACTCAAAAAGATTTCGTCGAATTAGAAAGATATATTCACCTTCATTAGGTTTTACGAAATTTCTTCTGAAGATTATTTTAAAAAGGTAAAACCTTTGAAAGTTTTTACCCAAGGAATTGCAGGAAAACATTATTTTGTACCATATGGTACCTGGGCATGCACCAAAGTTTAAAACATTAACGTCAAGTTTTGCAAAGAATGTGAGTAATGATATTGATTCTAAATTATTTGAACAAAAGCATTTTCTTACGCTTGCAAATTCGATAGATGAAAAGCATGAAACTGCTGCTTACATTAAAAATATTCCATATAATTTTCAACTGGTATATCGAACATGTAGTCCTGGTAGTTTTTCTATTGATAATATTTAAAATATTTGCGAATATATATATAATTAAACTGTGAGGTGGGATCGTTCTAGATCAAAGATAAGTATTATATTTTGAATTATAAAAAGAAATTTTTTTTGATGGGTTTCTTCTCAAACAATTTTAAATTCCTTTTAAGGATAAATTCAAATGGAAAATATTTTTCGATTTATTGGAAGCGTTACTAATGGTTGTTAAGGAGAACTCTACTATACTCTAGGGAGAAATGTAATATCAGCAACATGGCATTACAATTCAAATCGTGACAAAGCTACAAAGAAAATATTAAGAATGCTCTAACTAATGGGTTTCACGTTTGCGCGAGTGACAAAAGAGCGATTTATGTTAAGTCTCAAATATCATTCTAAAATTTACGTGATGTATAATCATGAATGAGATTTTAGATTACGTGGATGAGCTCTTTTTTATCGAAAAACAAAACAGTTAATATTATAAAATAGCGGAAATGTCAAAAAATATTATGAATTTGTTACTCAAGAGTATGGATCCAAATGGGACATTTTCGTTATCGAGAGTGTGAACTAAAATTACATGGAACTTTAATTTTAAAGAGTCAACTGGAAAACTGGTATTTATTTTTATTGTATTTTATATTATTTTAAAATAAAAGGTTAAATATTTAATGAATAATTAATACTTTCCTATATATTCACCACATTTTTTATTTTTTTAATAACCGAGTTTTTCGAAAGAAAGTCCTTTTTCCTCCAAATGAAAAGTTCTAATATAGAATAAATAGTAGAAATATATCTAGTCCAGTTTTCTTGGTAATGAGATATGTTTTACATATATTGTTAGCAAGCCTGGATTTGTCCTTTGTGACTTTTATATTGCCTCGAAGTGTTGCGTCGTCTGACGCCCAAAATATAAAGATCAAATCCGGGTGCTTTTAGGATATGATTCGTCACAATCTTTGCTAACATTACTTTAGATTTCTATTGTTTTTAATATACCGTATACAGTATATCTCCTATTTTTTTTTATTTTTCGAATTTAATCTATTTAGGGTGTTCTTAATCACAAAACTCAATGGATCGAAAATCGAAAATCGAATCTTAAAGTCGAATCTTGAGAAAGATAATCGCGATTAAATCGATTCTAAAAATCGATTCCAATCCCTATTCCAAGGACTTTAAGCGTAGGTTTTTTAATTTCCAAAAAAAAAAAAAAAAACACAAACTGGATTATCTAAGTACATTTATGTAAATTAAAAAATAGTAAAAAAAAAAAAATAAATATTGAACCCGTGATTATAAAAAAAAAAATCGCGCGGTTATTCGCAATTTTTTTTGTTTAGGTAGAATTAAAAAATTAATAAAATCAATTAAAATAAAAATGAAAATTATTAAAATAAATGAATTCAATAAAATATCAATTCGAAATAAAAAAAAATTTTAAAAAAAATAAAAAAAAAATAACATAATTAAAAACATTAAATTAATATCACGGTATAAAAAAGTATTTTTATATTTAAAAATTAAATTTACAAAAATTAAAAAAAAAAAAAAAAAAAAATTTAAAATTAAAATAATAAAAAAAAATAAAATAATAGCTAACACTCAGATTATCGTAATAAAATCCACTTCAACTTCACATTAACAACCAGTTGCCAATTTTATCCGAAAAGTTGTTATAATGTTTGGACGTCTTGCTTCAACTTTAAAATGACCTAGACATGTTATGAAATTGTATTCACATTATTAGCTATACAGACGAGACGGGTCTTACGTTGAGCACAAATTTTTCAAAAAATTCTATCAACGAAGGTTTATATATATACAATTTCAGTATTTCAGCTATTTTTTTGTAATACGTTACATTTATCAAATCCTGAAATTGTTGAACTCCAAGAAAATCCAATTTCAATAAATGTTACTTAATCGAATAGATGATAATTTTCCTTCGTAAGAATGTTAAGAGGAAAGGTAAAACAGAGCTGTTGAAACTGATTACTTTTTTTTTAATTTTTTATTGAAATAAGAAATTGTAAATAGATGCATTTAAAAAGGTAGTTTGCTATTAAAATCATATGATTTATTATTCTCGTAACTTTATTTTAATAGTAACAACCAAATTTTTTCACATTCGACGAAATTCCTGGAGAAACTCTAAACAATTACTTCTTGATGTTGGCATGAATATATCGATCATAAGAAATTAGTTAGCATTTACGAATGGCGCAAAGACTTCCCCTTGCGTACCGTCAAAAAATGTCACGAAATGGCCGGCATTACGGCATTTGGCTGGAATTAATTGTGGCGCACATATGACGTATAATACTTTAGTAAAAATGAAACGCGAAGGGAAGTGACGCCGGTGACAAATTATATCACATGAAATTTCGTGACATTTTTTTGATGGAATCCTGAGGAAAGATAACAAAAAATGTCAAAATTATCAAAAATAATTATTATATTAATTATGTTTGCTAGAATAATTATATTACATTTCGTTTTATATTTATTTATTATTCATAGTTTTTAGATTATTTATAATTGTTAACTTTTGTTTTATTAATTATTTTTATTTATTAGTTATATATTCGCTATATTTGTTATATTTATTATATTATTATTAGAACATTTTGTATTATACCTCAAAAATCCGACTTTATTGAAAACAGAGATAGGTTGACGAGTCTTGAGAAAAGAATTCTGAAATCTTGAAATTTATTAAAAATTTTATCCTCACCCTTCCAAACCTTTATCATGTCTCCAAATAAACTTGACTGTAATAATCAACTTCATAAAATTGTTGCATAAATCTTTCTTAGGACGGACTCGAGTTAGATTTAATTCCTTGTTGGTTAAACTGGTTTCAACTCAATTCCAAATTAACACCGGGAAAGAATTATTTGAACCAAATAAATTTTTAAGTGAAATGATCGTCGTTCTAGAAATTGGACCGATTTAAAGTCAGTCGCAAAAAACCGGTTCTAGCAAAAACCGGTTTAATAAGATCGGTCGATCGAATTTAATGATAAAGTTAGAAAATATTTTATTATATATTCCCCGTTTACATAACATATTATTACTTTATATTATAAATTTGAAGAATTAATTCTAAAAAAATAATAAATTAACAAAAAATTAAATAACAAAAAAAAAAAAAAAAAATCCTTATTTAAGTGTATTCTTAAAAAAAAAAAAAAAAAATGAAAAATAACTCAAAAGTATCTTGAATAATTTATTCTAGATTTTAAAGTAAACAATAAAAAAAGGTTAAAAACAGAAAAAATAGCAATTCTCTGTTGTCTAATCCTATTCACAACTTATCCTACAATCTGCAATGCACAATCAAGGAACATTCAGAAAAATCACAATCCATTAACTTTAATTGAAATGCAAATGAATAATATTTTGAAAAGAAAACTCCAGATGTCAAAAAATAGATCCTGAGGAGGTAAAAACATAAGGCCACTTTTCAAATTAAATAAATCTTGATGTCATTATTATAAGATCTTGATATAAAAATTACTAAGATCTTAATATTAAAATCTATTTGTATGAGAACCCATCAATTTAAAAACACCTCTATAGTAACCTATTCTATTGATACCAGGATTACAAGAACTGTGAAAGAAAATTTATATAGAACTTCTTAAAAGAATTAACAAAAAAATGGAGACTAGGTTGTAAATTAAATGAATAAAGAAGTTGAAAGAAAATGAAAAGACCCTTAACGAATTGATAATACTTGTAAAAGGAGATAAAATTATAATAGATTTATGCTAAATTTTGAAGATCTAAAAATGCTAGAAGAAAATCATGATTTATTAATATTTCATGCAATTGTAAAAAAAAAAAAAAACATTAAAAGATTGAATTCTAAAAATGATTTCAATTTATCTTTAAATGAAGCTGCATTACTTTTAGATAAATAGCTAGTTCATGAAAAAATTCTATCAAGAAAAAAACAAATATATTTAAATGTAACTATAATTAAAAATAGTGCTGGTAAAGAAATATTAAAGTGTGCTATCTTTTAAAAAATAAGAAAAAAACACTTAAATATTTCATGTATATAATTTTCATAAAATATATCATGCAAATTAATCTCTAATATAATATAATTTTTATTTATTAGTAAAATCTTTTCTATATCAACAACCCTTTACTCTTTACATCTTAGAGGAGATGATTATTTCTGGGAGGTGAATCTCATATTATAAGGTGAAAGTTGTTTTAATTTTCATATTATTATATTGTTTTTATTAGAGTTATAATGTGATTGAAAAAGTTGGTAATTAAAGTTATTAAGTTATACTTTCTTTACTAAAAATTTACAGTCTTTTTTATTAAAGCTGTTATTTCTTTGAACATAATTTTTCTTGTCATTTTTGTGACATACAAATTCTAAATTTGATGCTAATATTAACTTATTTATGTGTAAGTATTAGTTTATAATAAAATTTTATCATTAATGAAAACTCGAGTTTTAATCAGAGAGAGTAATTGATTAGAGAAATCAGAATTTTAATGATGCATTTGCATTGCTTTAAAATTATATATAGGTAAAAATCAAGAATATCTAGAATGTTCTTGAATTATTAACGTTATTAATGATAACTCATTTATGTCACTAAATGATTGCGCTAGTTAATATTACCAAAAATCACTAGAAAAATCATGATCGTTATTTTCACTAATTTTACTGCTATTACGGTTATTATTGTGATATTTATTTTTTTATTATTATATTTATCATTATTTTATCTACTATCTTTATTATTATAATTATATTTACTTTCACTATTATATTTATTATCTCTTTCTTATAATTGTATTTAATATAAATATCCTGTATTATCGCCTTGACAAAATAATAAGTTCCTACTGTACAATTAATAAAATATAATTTTAATAACATAAAAACTATATCATTGCTAATATATATTTCCTTAAAATATAAATTATCAATAAAAATGACCTGACCCTTCAACTTAAATAAATTTATGTTTATTTCTTTCATAATTTATAACTTAAACTCCCTATTAGCAAATAAGCTTTATTATTCTAAAATGACATAGTGTTTAGATTTAACAATATATTACATAATTTATCATATAATATTTCTTGTCAATTCTTATTTATTTAGTTTATTCTAAAATATATTTCTACTAATGAGATGATTAACATTGAAAAATTTTCAGTAGATGATCTTAATACTATAAATATAAAAGTATTTATCATCTATCAAAACTTCTATCTCACTTATAAATTTACATTATCATAAAGTGACCTACTACTAATAAGTAAAATATAATAAAATAAATTAATATAATGAATATGTTTTAGCTTGACTTTAATACTTATTATTATTTCATATTTTTATCTATACTATGATATATTGATAATATTAAATATTTTATATTTTTTTTTATTATCAATTTGTTTTTTTTTATAGAAACTTAAAATAAAAAAATCTGAAATGAAGATATAGATAATTATTAAAATATAATAATAGCTTTAGAAATAATAAAGAAGAATTATTTTTTAATCTATCTAATAGTATTCATATTTTAAAAATTCATATAAATTTTTAATTTGGTTCACCTGTAAATACTACTAAAATTTAGCAATTATTTTTATAATGACTATTAAATTATCGTGAAATTTTATTTTATATTGTAAAATATAGAAAGATTTTACTTTTGTTATATAATATATTAGTTTATGATTATTTTCATAATATATAAAAAATATATATCATTAATAATCTAAAAATTAGAAAAATATATTTTAAATATTATCTACTATATCTACTTATGTAACATTATGTAATACAGGGTAAAATAAATATTAAATAATTTTTATTTAATATTTATTTATATTTATTTGATGAATTGATATTAATAATGGAGGATTAAACCCCTTAATAATAGTTATAATTTAAATGAAACTATATTAAAATCATAATAATGGATATGTCAAAACTATTTTAATATATCAAAAGCTAATATAGTAAAAACTATATTAAAACATAAAAAGGATATAACAAAATTATTTTAAAGGAGTTTTGGTAGGTATTTATAATTCATATAATATATTTAATATTAAATATAACTTCCTTTAGTAAAAATAATTATAAATTTAAGAAAGCATTAAATTAATAAGATTTTGATATTTTTTTGATAATCAACTTTTATTCTTTGATAACCATTTTTTTAACTCTTTGATGTTAAATATTTCAAGTTTACATTTTTAAAGTTTAAACTTAATATTGACTTAAGATTCTCAATAGGATTAAAGTTAAAACTTTAGAGTGATCATAATAAACCTTTTATTTTACTCAAATAAAAAAAATTTTATGCTATTTTTGCTATATACATTGATATATTATTTTTTTAGAAAATAAGCATTTTTTAACTTTTTATAATTATTCTTTAAGGATTAGTATAGTATAAATTTTAAGAATTTTATAATAAGTTTTATCAGTAATAAAACTAATTATTAGAATAATACACTATTTTTAGAAAAGTATCTGGTTAAGTTTTATTTAAATTTCTCAAGATCAGACATAAAAATTAAATAAAATTTTATTTTAAATAACTCCTCTAGTTTAATGATAAGATGTATATAATTATATTTATATAATAATATATAAATCAGATTTAATAAACAAAAATATAAAACTGCTTTAATTTTACTTTTTTAAAATTATGCTATTTAATATGAGAAAAAATTGCAAATTAAATGACTTTAAATACAGATAAATTATCAATTTATTGTTAATAAGAAGGACTTATGAGACTATTGCATGCATTGTAAAGTTTTTAAAAAAGTATTATTACAGATATAATTGTATAATATGCTAATTCTAATAATAGATCAAATACTAAAAGATTCAAAAATCAAATTCTATGATAATCTTACACTTAGGTAAATTATAAAAAAAAGAATTAGATATTTTTTAAATATTGATAATTTTATTTATTTAAAAATTTACACTTAAAATTTTAAATAAATAAATTTTTTAATTTTTTTTTGCTAATTGAATACTTTCTAATAGTAGTATAGATCTAAAACTAAACTAAAAAAAATAGCTTCAAAATATTTATTTAGAATTATATTTTACATTTAAGATAAATAATTCTCATTAAATTCTTTATTAGATTTTCATCAAATTCAATCATAATTTAAGATTTGAAACTAAAAAAAATAGATTTATCTAATTAAACTATTTTTCTTCAGTTAGCTATTGTTTAATTTTTATGCTATTCTATAAAAACATGTCTTTTAATTTTATTTGTAAAAAAAATAATAGTTTTAGATGTAACATATATAATTGAATACCTTCTATTCTTAATGCTTTTTAAATATTTGCTTAGATACTTTCTCATCTTTATTTTATTTTAAAAATACTAATAATCTTATTTTAAATTTTAGTATTTAGAATATTTATTATTAAGAACAGTCTTTTTCTATTTTTATAGTCATTATTTGGAAATATCTTAATTATTTATTAATAATTTAATTATTTTTTAAAATTTAAGAAACTTTTATTTGAAAATACTTAACAATTTTTTGCATAATACAAAGTTTTAACATGCAAAAATTGCATCTTTTTATTCTAAAGTAATCTTTTTGCAAAATCCATTTTTTATAAAAAATTGTAAATTTCTGAAAATTTTTAAAAAATCTAAACTAAAATAAATAAAATCAATTATAGTTTTAATAAAAATAACTTTTTTTTGATTAAAAAAGTATTATAAATTACTATAATTAGCTTTAATTAATTAATTTTTATATACAATTAATGTAATAAAGTTTCATGAAAAAATTATGCAATATTTATTCCATTCTTTATAAGAAATAACTATTTTATATAAAAGTATTGCTAAAATAAAGACTAAACTTATATTTATTTAACTTAAATTAACTCAAATAAATTTTATTTTAAGTTAAAATTTTTTGATTCAAATTAAAATTTTAAATTAACAAGTTAAATCAATTTCAAATTTATGCTATACTTTATAAATAGCATATAATTTTTTAAATTGCATTTATTAGCATAATATAATTAATTTTATTATATAATTATTAAATAAAAATTTTTTAAAAAAATTTCTTTTAGTTTAATCCCAAATTATCATAAAATTTTTAGCTTATATTATACTTTTCTGCCTGTATTATCAAGTTTAACTTAAGTTTTTGACTCAAATTTCAACTCAAGTTTCTTAAAGTTAAAATTTTGCTAACTTAACTTTAATTCAAATTAATTTTTCTGACTCAAATCTAAACTATATGCTAGAAAATATTTATACATTTTTAATAAAGAATCAATTTTTCTTACTTATGATAAGACTATTACCAATTCATAAAAATTCAAAAAAGATGTTTGATACATCATAAATAAAATAGAATTAAAGAAAATTAAAGTTAAAATAATTTTATTTATTCACTCAAAAAGTCTTATTATATAAACTTTGATAAGTATTCTTTTATAATAATACTTAAAATAAAGTTTAAATAAGATCTATAAATGTAAAGATAAAATGTATCTTGATGCTAATATAAAAAAGGTTGATAAGTTATTTTTTATATAAAAAGGATCATTAGATTTATTTTAAAGAAAAATGATGATTATATTTAACAAATAAATGCAATTAAAATATATGATGTGATGAAAAGATATTTAATTATATTAGCTGATATAAAAATAAGTTATGTTTTAATTTATCTCTAAACAAACTCTCTACTAAGAAAAAGAACAAAATATAAATAATAATATTAATAAACAAATTGAGAAATTCTTTATATATAGCAAATGTATTATTTTGCATCAGATTATTTAGATAAATTAGTGACTGAAAAATTTAAACAAAATATATTGAAAAAGAGATATTGAAGTAAGCTTATTAACAGATATAAATGATTAATTCTGGGTTGCTATTTTAAGTAAATTGCTTACTAGTTATTATGATAAGAAGATAATTTTAAATATTATTTAGAATTTTAAGATAGAGATTTATATCAACCATTTACCAAGTGGTCAGAAATTAGAAATTTTCTATTAATTTATTGATTATACTTTAACATTCTTTTATAAATGATATGTCTATCTTGCATTCAATTAGAATAGATAAACTTTATGATAAATTAGCAAAGAAAGGTAGCATTTACTTTAATTTTATTGTATTAATACAATTATATGATCATTATTAAAAGAAGAAATTTGTTACTACCAAAGAAAATAATATTTAAAAATTGTTACCTTAGATTGAATAACAAATTAAGCAATATATTTTGAGTATTGACTTGAGTAAAATGTCAGTCCTATCAAGGCCATCAGTCTCGTCAAGACCATCAGGTTCATCAGTATAATTAGTAATATTATTAATATAATTAGGATCATTAGCACTATCAGCAATATTATCAATGCAATCAGTGTCATCAGCATCATCAAGCAAAACCAAAGAATCAGCAACAAAAGATCTTCTGAACTAGAATCACTAACACCAAAAAGAGGAAAAGGGAGAGGAAGAGAAAGAGAAAGAGAAAGACCACAAAAAAATTGATAGTAAAACTTTGATAGCTTTTATCATTATCCTTATAAGTGGGTTAAAATGGGTTAAAATAGATTGTTAAAGTTAGTCATATATAATGCAATAATACTTTGTAATATTTTTACACTATTTCTAATAAAGCATTTCTATTAAGAAAAAATTGAATTCGGAAATATAAAACAAAACATGTTTCTGAGAAGTGCTGCTCACGTGATGATGATGTAATAAAATTGGGTATGTCACTAAATTTAGTGTGTTTTACACATTGGGTTTATTATTTTTAACATGTATACATTGGAAATTAAAGTTTGATTTATTGACTGTCAAATTTCACCAACTGAAAAAGTTTTGTAAACCTTTCTTGAATTATGAATCAATGTTACGAAGCTGGGGCATTTATATAATATTTTAAATTTACTTACTTCCGCGGTCTAAATATATCATATAAAAAAAAATTCGAAGATTCAATGCTCTCCATATCATGAACAATCAAAATAAAATTTTTGGCGCGATTTGCGGAAATGGTTACCCAGGTTTTTTTTTTTTTTTTTTAGTGGAATTCACAACGTCACGGATTAATTCTAACTCAAATATAAAGTAGTCACGTGGCATCATGAAATGAAAAAAATAGTATCCAGGGATAGATTATATTACATAGAAAATAGAAAATAGTATAAAAATATTTACAAAATAAAAAGTACATAACGATAGATAAAATTTAAAATCTAAGTCGACCAGCGACTAATGATAAATGTGAATACAAATCTACACTATCAGTGAGAGTCATCAATGCATCACGTGTAAATCTATTTTTATCTTTAGAGGGAGCCACCACGACAATGATTGTTGTCATTCAAACTCTCCAAAATGCAACAATAAGTTGTTCGAATTCTCTCCTTATCTCAATGATGACGAGATTTGGTAATTTTCGTTAAAAATTTTGGTCACTTCGTTAATACTTGGGGTAAGTGGCTGGGATGAAAATATAAAAATAAAAAATGAGTAATATGCGTCATCATCATCAAAAATCAAGTAGAAGTGATTTGTATTCCTATTCACTACAATCCCCAGGGCCGTACCGATTGCGGGATTTCGGAAACAGGGAAGAACCGTTCACGGCTGAAACCGTGGCCACGAAGAGCTTTCATTTCCCAGACTTTTTAAACCTAGTAGCAGCATAACTTCGGATATACAACGACTCGACAAAATCTCAGTGAAATACTCACCGTTCTCAACATCAAAATAGTAACCATTAGTTCCTCGAGCTCTCTTCCTATCTCACTGATGACGAGATTTGGTAACTTTCGTTAAAATATCGATCACTTGGGGAGTGGCTGGGATGAAAATAAAAAAAAAATGAGTAATTTGCGTCATCATCATCAAAAATCAAGTAGAAGTGATTTGTATTCCTATTCACTACAATCTCCAGGGCCGTACTGATTGCGGGATTTCGGAAACAGGAAAGAACCGTTCACAGCTGAAACCGTGGCCACGAAGAGCTTTCATTTCCCAGACTTTTTAAACCTAGTAGCAGCGTAACTTTGGATATACAACGACTCGACAAAATCTCAGTGAAATACTCACCGTTCTCAACATTCTCCAAAATAGTAACCATTAGTTCCTCGAGCTCTCTTCCTATCTCACTGATGACATGAGTTTGGGTTAAAAAAGAAGATAAAGATAAAATTTATTTTCGAACACTTCGTTCATAACTGTGGGGATAGGGAACAAATTGAAAAGTTATTTTAAATTTTTTTTTTTTTGTGTCTACATTTCCAAAATAAATGTATGACCATGTGCAAAAAAAAAATTATTAGTCAGGTTTTTGATCGCAAAATCCGTTAAATCGATTGCTGATCGAGTTACACAATTTCGCCAATCAGGCCTATGTTAAATTCTATTGGCTTATCAAATCACATGATTAATTAATAATTAAAATTAATCGTTATTATTATATTTTTATAACAAACTAGTTGTTAACCCGTTGCTCCGCAACGGGGGTATATTGTTAATAAATCAGGTTTTAGATCATGTGATTTAAAAACGTCTTGTGATTTTAATAGTAAAAATAGATGATCTGCAATTTATTGAAAAATTTCATGATATACAACATTTAAGGTATGATAATTTGGGTCATTACCCGTAAGAACTTTGATGTTGTGGTACAAAGTACTTCTCCTTCTCTAATTTATAGCCTGTAGGAGTAAAACTGCATTGTTGTTACTCTTTCTCTTTTTATAGGTCCAGTTAAAGGTATGTCTGTGTGCCAACTATCATCACCTTTTGGGAATAACAGCACATAATAAAGCGGGTCATATGATGGATGTAGTTCCGAGATTCTTTTTAAACCTCCATCATGTAGCCTGAGAAGAATATCTTGATTTGATAGATTGATATCGTAACCATCACCGATTATAATTGCCGCTACATCAGAGGTCGTGAGAGTATTATAATGACAGGGATCTTTTGTTCGATCAGTATGTATTAGCATCAAAACATTAGTGGTCATGTTCGATTGAATGATATCTCCCACCTGATAAAAACATTGGACATAGAGATTGAATTTGTGTAGCATATGTTGTAGATGCTGCAGAATATCTTCATTTAAATCGTGCATGATGTTTTGTCTATTAGTAGTTTCATGAAAAGTATCATATTTGTATAGTTGAGCAAATGTTGGTGATTGAGTTCTTCCGGAAGCAATAGACTGATAAAATGATAGACTTGGCCATGAACTCAGAAATTATAGATGCCCTGACCAAAGAACGACTGATCTATATTAGCGGCAAATGATGTGCATGATAAGGCGCTATTGTAGGCTCAGATATTCTTGCAGAATGAACTTGCATCAGCTTCTGCCGAAGTATACAAATGGAGCAGATATAGTAGTGGTTTAAGCAAGGGTGGTAAATGGATCTTTCCAGCAGCACAACATATTGCAAAGTTGGAGAAGCATGCGAGCTCTTTTGATCTTTTTCATTAAACTAAACTTAGCATTACAATGGATACATATATGATCCATTCCTTCCAGATCATGACGAATGATCCTATTTGCATAATTTAATTTTTGTTTTTTTTATAGCAATCCTGTTTCTCTCTACCAAATCTCTTTCAACGTTGTTCAGGAGTTTCGGTCAGTTCCTGCATAGAAGTAATATGAATATTTAAGCATATAACATGACTCTTACGAAGAATCACGAAAAGATACATAATGTAATGTAACGCAATTTAAATAAGAGTTGAATATCATGTTCAGTAAACACGTTTTAAAGATATGCAAAAGAGCAATTGTTAACATGTTGCTTGTTCTGTGATTTATTAAATAACAATATTAAGGGTAAATCATCGCAACTGTATTGCATGAACAGAATTCGAATATTTCTTTATTAATATTTTACAATTATCAATAAGCATACATAATAAGTATACAATATATAATATAGGATAAGAAAAAACATCATAAGAACATTCAGCGTATTATGATTTCAATTAATACGCTCTTTTGAGAGGAACGAAAACCTACTTTATTTACATTTAAAGTTGCATTCTAGCAAAAAAGATACGCATCTCATCATCACGAATGATATAATATATACATTAAATCCATAAGTTTTCGTCATTTCATCATTCCATAATAAATTAAATAATAAAATTTTCATCATTCAGAGATAAAGATTAAAATATATTTGTTATCAATAAAATCAATTAATCAGTGTTGCCTCAACATCGGCGCTCCACACTTTCGCAATGTCAATATATTGAACTAAATAAATGCTAATTACTCACAATACTTATTAATTAAATTTGCTCACGCTTCTTACAGTGCACATATACAGTATACCTTAAACCTTCCTTTCCTCCCTTGCGATATATTTGGTTTCGCCGCTTTAGCATTATAATTTTTCATCCGCAACTTTGTTTATTTTAAATTCCCTATTTTCTTAGTTCATATTTTTTTATTTTCGTAATTGCACGTGGAATGTTGAGCTGTTTTAGGATTTCCAGCTCATATTTATAAAAAAAAAAATCAGCATCCTACCAGCCTGGCATCGTGCCAACTCTATCAAAATGATCTACAAAGGACTAACTGAAAACAAAATACATGCGAAATTATGTTTTTTTTCGGGCGGAATTTATTAAATTTAACAATAAATTTACATTTCTTTAGTGAAGAAGCTTCCAGTTTTTTTTTAAAATCGTAAAAATATTAACATCAGATTGTAAGAAGGAATTTAGACATCGCCTCCATGGTAATTACCTTTGATTTTTATGATCATGAAAAGCGCTTGTCAAATGCATTTATTCGAAAGTTATTTTGATAATCTTAATAATCAAAATAAGAATTTTAATTTCATAAAAGAATGTTATATTCGAAATTTTATTTAACGATTACAATAAAAAAAACTCTTCTATTGAACGAATATAAAAGTTTAACATATAAAAAAATAAAAAAATAATTGTATATCGAACTAATCGTGCAAGTATTCATTCAGGATTACAATAACGTAAAGATTATTTCATTCAAGGATGAAAAACCTTGAGTATTCCCTCGAAGCATAGCAGAATTTTCTCATCTGGATTCGAAACTAATAACAAATAATAAGAAAAGGATTATTAATTCATGAACAATTAACAAACATTAAATTATTTTGTCATTTACATACTGGTGACTCTCGTATAAATTGGAGTTACAATATTCTTTGGTTCATTAGAATCATCTTTCTCTATTGGCAAGGTTGCAGCAAAGTCGAAAATTCCTTTTTCAAATGGGCAAACGAACCCGCTTGGTTCGACAAATAATTCACAAAATTCAAATTCATGCTCGAAATTTCCTTTAGGATCATGATAAATTCTCATCATTGCACCTTTTTCAATAACTTCATCCGTTTCACCAACCATGTAAACGGTTAAATTTTGACCCGCAACAAGAGGATTTGGAGATAACCCCAATAAAGTAAGATTTATTGCGTAGTCTCCGTCGCATATTTTTAAGTTATCGAAAGAAGGTTCTTGACGTTTTCGTAAATCCAATGGAGTTGGTTTGACGAATGATGCTAAGATCAAGGAAATACAGACTAAAGTTATAATTCGATTCATCATTTTCAAAAATTACTTGCTTATATTAGAATTAGAGAATGAAAAGCTTTGTAATGTTTGAAAGTAGAAAAACAAAAATAAAGAAGGCGAACGACGCTGGTTTTATATTCGCGAAACTTGAGTAAAAGAAATTAGATTACGATTGATTAAATTTTTCAATCGTTATTGTTTAATTTCTTTATTTGAAACTACAATAAGAAATCAACTTGCATCATGCACTTTTTTTTTTTGGCGGGAATTTCTTGGCAGCAGGACGTATTTGCCTCATTATCGTGTAAAACCGGATTTCTATATCTAGTAAATTTATAATGATATCATTATTTGTTAATAGTAGAGCTTCCTTATAGAAAGTTCTAAGTCATTTAAAGCAAATATAAATAATGTACTTTATTTAAAGAGATTTTATTAATGGCAAACAAAATTTCTGTTCATCCCATGCACGCAGAAATTACATAATGTTATTTTAAATATGAAGGTATTTAGTTTATAGTCAAAGAGAATTAAAAGAACGACTTCTGTAATAATATTCTTTAGAAAATATAATGAAGAGATTTATATTATGAGGAATATATCAATCAAAATTCATTTGAGTTCATATCAAATAAAGAATAGATAATTGGTCCAACTTCTAAATCATATTGCAAGATTCTGGAAAGAACAATCGCGTTAATATTCGTAGCAAAGAATGAAGTAAAGAATGATTTTCTGAGACGACATTTTTTAATTTTATTTAAAAACGTCACATTCGTCCATTGACTGGTTTTTCTAGTTGAACTTTCTTAGCATGTAAGCTTTATTATTGCTTAGTTTTATATGAAAATAAAGAATATTGTAACAACAAATTTCATTATAATCATTCTTTTTTCATAACTCTTTCAGTATTTTACGTTTTTTTAATATTCGACATATAAAATATAATAAAAAACATATATTATCGTAAAGAAATACATGGATAACACGAGACTAAAAAATAAAAGCAAACTATATCAGGATAAAGATTAGCATATCCTTCGAAACAAACATGATTTTTTTCCATCCGGTTTAGAAACTATGATTAATTGATTAAAAAATTATCAAATGAGTTTTAAATTTATTTTTTTTAAAAAAAAAAATTTATGGGTTCATACATAAAGTATCATTTTCGTATATAGATTTTCTGAAACATTTTAGGTACTTCCAAAAACATAATTGTGGTCAAGTAGAAATTTCCTTCAACTGGACATGCGAATTCACTTTGCTCAGCAAAATCCTTACAAAAATCTGCTTCATATTCAACTTTTCCGCTTTGATCGTGATAAACCTCATCATTGCACCTTTTTCAAAAAGCTTCATTTGTCACACGAGCGAACCGGATAACCCAAGGATAACAGGATTTTGGATTTTAGGTGAATGTATTAATCGTGACTGGATAAACGTAGCGTCATCGCAACTTTTAAAGCTAGGCAAGTGAGAAGAATTTCTCGTAATTCCAATGGAATTGGCTACACGATCGATGCCAAGTTACAAGAAAATTCCAAGTAAAATAATTGGTTACAAAATAAAGAGCAGAACTTAAAAGGATATATGAGATCAAGGGAAACACCATGTAAATCATAATGCGTCTCATTTGTTTATCTTTGAATCTAAAAATCAAAGGAGCTTTAGTATTTTGATTGCAAAGGGAGAAACAGTATAATCAAAATATCAAATGACAAAAAAAAGAAAAATTCTTGAAACGATAATGTGAAATGATGGTTGTATTCAAAGTATTTTGAAGGGCGTAACTTACATCGCATCGTATGAATAATAAAGAAAAAAAAAAAAAACCTTTTTTGAGTCAAACAATGAATTTAGGATTATCGTGAAACGCCAAATAAAACATTCTTATATTTACTTTTTTTTATACTGTACATAGAAACCCATTATAGCGAATATTAAAATTTGATTAAAAATAAAACAAAGAACCACATTTCAAGTGATCTCGAAAAAATTTTTTTTTATGAAATGGCAACATGATGCTTTTATCCATAGACATCTATTCGTGCAAAATGAAATAGGAAGTATCTATATCTATTATAATTATTTAATTAGTTTAGTTAAGATCGAAATTACAAGTAATTGTTGATGATTACATGGGAAATTAGGTTTTTCTGACGTTGATTGCTCGGATTTATTTTAACTTTGTGTACAAATGAGGTCGCAAATAAAAATAGTTTTATTCCTTTATTTTAAACGGTAATTGAAAATAACAAATTTGTCAATCTATTTTTTTTGATAAATACGCGAAAAATTAAATCTATATATAGAAGAACTAAATCTTTTATCCTAATTGAAATTAATAAAGAATGATGATTATATGCCTGAATATTGTTTGCTGATCGCCGAAATACATACATTAGAAAAAAAAATGGCAATTTGATCCGATGATTTCAGAATAATAGAACGTCAAATAGAATTTTTTTTATTTAATTTGAAAAGAACTCGAAAAAAAAAAAAGCAATTAAAGTTTTTTAATCCACAAACAGGAATAAAACAAAAACTTCATTTTGCAGACTAACTCATAAATTCGATCTTATGATTGGATTGTTGTGTTTAAAACCGCCTGAAAAAATATCCTTAGATGATTATCTTGTTATGAAATGCAAGTAATTATTTTTTTATGTTTAACATATTAAATTTTGAATTTCTTCAAACTAAATAAGTTCGTTAAAATACAAGCGCGCACGTAAAATGTTTATAAAGCGTTTGACGAACATATTAAAGCTCGTGCGCTTCCAAACGTGAGTTCTTTTTTATAGGTTTTCATTCAAAATGGACAATGATTTTGAAGATCTTTCACCCGGAAGAAACTGAACCATTGTATTTCATCTTTAAGGAACATATTCTATTTGTTGAGAATCCTACATGAATGAATTTAAGGAAAAAAGTAATTGTATGCTTATGCTCTAGAAAAGAAGCTGCTCGCGTTCATATTTAAAATTTTATTTCCTTTTAAGCAGATAAAAATAAACATATACGTCTGATTATCGATTATGTCCACAGCTTAGTTTATTTAATGCTGCCATCATCACATAATCATATATTTACGTCCTTTTTAAGAATTCGCAAAGTTGTTATCGAACCCGTCGAAACTTTCTAGACCCATCGAAACTCATCGAAACCCTCGAAACCCATCGAAATCCATCGAAACTGTCTAAACAAGTTTTGAAAAGTTTCGACTTTTGCCAAAAAGCGGTTTAGGGTTTTACCCCGCAACTATAGCCACAATTACGTCTAATTTCGTATTGTTAGAACAGAGTTAGGATTTTCGGGTAAATCTATCAATAAGCGTGTGATACCGCCGGTAGATTCAATACCCAGAGATAAAGCAGCGACATCGAGTAAAAGAAAATCTTGAGCTTTTCAGAGTATCACCAGATAAAATAGCAGAATGAATGAGGCCATGGTTTCATCAGAATTAACGGGTTTTTACCGTTGAAGAACTCAAATACAATCTTTTGAATTTTAGGAATATGTATTGAACCACCAAATAGAACAATTTCATGAATTTGACTTTTGCCTAATTTAGAATCTCGAAATACTTTTCAACATGTTAAATTGTAGATTGAAATAAGTCTTGATTCAATTTCTTCAAATTTTGCACGTGTTAAGAAGGTATAGAAATTGTTATATTTGAAAAGAGAATCAATTTCTATCGAAGTTTTAATGATGATGAAAGTTCACGCTTTGCACGTTCACAAGCTGTTCTTAATCGACAGAAAGTACATGCATTCGTTGTTTACAAGTCGATTGTCGAAATCTTCACCGCCAAGATGTGTGTCATCAGCAACGGCTTTTACTTCAAAATTCCTTCTTCTATAGTTAGGAGTGAAACATCAAAAGAATCACAAACCTAAATCATATATAAGAATGTTTCGTTCACCACAAGCTTTTGTATTCAAACCATAAGCAATAGCCGCCGTGGTTGCTTCATTAATTATGCGTAATACCTTCAAACCAGCGATTTTACCGGAAACTTTTATTGCTTGACGTTAAGATTCATTAAAGTAAGCTGGTGAAGTAATTACGTCATTATTAACTTTGTACCAAGGTAAGATTCTGCGGTTTCCTTTAACTTTACCAAGATCATAGAACAAATAGATCTAATTATTGAATTATTATTGTTGGGATTATTAAAAAAAAATTTTCAAATGACAGCAAAAAATCTGAATTTCTTCGGGTGCGAAAATTTTCTTTTCGCCTTTGAATCTGATAATTTTACCTTAATATATCGGATTGAATAACTTCGTCACTAAAGTTACGTCCAATGAGACGTTTAACATTAACTACAGTATTATAATGGTTCAAATTAATCTTGATTTTTTACAGCATCACCGATAAGACTTTCTGTTTCGATGAAAGCGACATACGAAGGCGTCGTACGATGACCCTGGTCATTAATAATATTTTAATTCGATCGTTTTTCTAAACTCCAACGAGGAATATGTAGAACCCAAATCGATTCCAACTTAATTTAACACGGCAAACAACACAATTTAATCAGATATTAAATTTCAGGTTGTATAAATGGTTAGGAAAAATTTTTAACGAAGTATTTTTTTCACAACGGATATAAAATAAATGATAATGCCATATTATTCATAATTTATTTATAATTTTCGGTTACACATCACCACGATAAATTTATAAATAAAGTTCGAGGTCGTTAAAGTTGTAGCAAAATTATAGTAAAGCTGTATTTTTAAGTTTATAGTTTACTTGTTAAATAATTAGTATATTTATACTTTTAAGTAAATTGCAATTTTTAAAATTAATTGTTAATCACAAAAAAAAATAAGCATCTAAACTATTTATTTATTACTATAATTTGTTATTAAATCAATTTTATTAATTTATAAAATTTTATTATATTTTTTAAAATTATTTCTAATTATCAATATTATTTATCAATAAATTAAATTTTATATAGTTAAATAAAAATAGGTTTATATTAATATTATAACTTAAAATTTATGATAGTAATTTGATAATAAAATTTATTAAATTTAAAATAAATTATTTTTAATATTTTAAATAAAATTATTTATTCATTTTAATCATTTAAAATTATTTAAATCTAAATTTATTTTTTAATATTTAATTAATATTTAAATAATAATTAAAATTTTTATTAGATATTATTTATACGAAAAAAAAGTTATTTTTTAATAAAGATCTTTATTTAATTTTCTAATGATCGATTAATAAGGATTTATTTATTTAATAGATTCGATAAAAATTTCGCCAAATATTTTTGTTTTTTCCCCACTTATAATATTCACACCCAACCCGCTATTTATTCTAAATAAATCTAGCGTAATTAATCGAAATATTTGTAATTCCGGTACCGTTAGCTTTCGAATTGCAACAAAAATATAAAAAAAGAAAAGACGTAAATTAAAAATATTTCAGAAAATAAAAAATTTATTGTTCGGTTAAAAATTTAAATACCCGGAGAATTAATCTATTTGCTATCGCTTGACTCTCGTGAACCATTTTCAAATCGTCCAAACTTCATTTTCGGTTTCTTCAAATCCAATGCATTTTTTACCAATTGAATTGGCACACATTTAGCAATAAATACGTCTTTAAGCCTAACACGGTAACCAATAATAGCACAATATTCGTTAGAGATTTCCGACAGTTCATAAACTTCTTTAACTCATTTAGTAGGAGGTCTGAACATAACATTTAGTAACTTCTTTCTTTTTCGTCAGACTTTTCGGATCTGTAGAATAAGGAAAGAAGTCGTTAGAGGTGTCGAGAGAGGTATCGAAAAGAGAGAAATTAATTAACAATAAAATAATAAACTGAGCTTTGACCTGAGACCCGTTGTGATATGTCTGGTAATCATCTCATCGTCACCTACATTATCTGGGAAAGGGGACGAACACGATTAGAACGTCTTATATAAAAAGAAACTGGGAATAGGAGGGTCACCCTTCAAACACAGCTATGCCACCACATCACCAACGAGACCCCCCTCGTGATTTTAAATGAAAATAATTTCATTTGTGGGACACGATGTAGTCCTATCGTGCTTTGACGGCCTGGATGGTATCCTTTCTCTTAACAATATTCGGACCACCCTGCTGCTAAAATGACAAGACGACGATAACTAAGTAAGTATACTTACATGATAATACCGGTATGCCTTCCTTGGATGTGCTAGCTTTTCTCCAGTGTCATGCCTTAACACCAATCTACTACGATGAGAACGTTGCGTAAGGTTAAAATCTCCAAAAATATGAACCTAAATGATATTTAAAAATAATAGAAATCTAAAATAACGTTAGCAAAGATCGTCCGCCCAGTCATTTCCTAAAAGCACCCTGAAAAGAGTTTTATGTCAGGCGTCGACCGCAACACTTCGAGGCAGTATGTCCGTTACATATTCACACAAAGGACTAATCCAGGGTCTTGCCAACAATATATGTGAAACATACCTCTTCAACAGGAACGTTGAGCGTAAGTTAAATTTTCCAAATACTGTATATATATACTCCTTTGTTCTACAAATAAAGAACTTCGATATTAATCTTTTCATTTTCAATTTTTTTTTTTAAAAATATTCCATAGAAGGAAAAAGAAGCGAAAACATCTGGTTGTCTCTCACTTTCGAGTTCTTCACACACGACTTTCCGGTTGAAAAAAAAACCAGATGAAATGATGCTTGATGTTAAAAAAAAGAAATGAGTTTGCAAAATATATAAACTATATAAAATCAAGGAGAATATATAGGATTCTTACGCGTTACGTCATGTAATAAAAAGTATGTCAAATGATGCGCGCTGATTAATACAAGTTCGACTGTGATACTGCAGAGTATGTACGTTCTTTTATTTTATCTATTTTTGAAATAAAACATGTGATCGATCACCTATTATCGTTCCTGAAACTATTCTATGTAATACTTTAAAATATAATTTTAAAGTAAAAATTTTTTTTTTTTTTTTTTTTTTTTTGGTATTAGTTTTACTTGGACACAGTATTCAAGAGTACAATGGTCAAGTGCTTTATACCGCTATACTATAGCAGCACCGACATAATTTTTAATTTTAATTTAATATAAGTATCAACTGATTTTCAAATATATATCACATGATATTGATCACTTGATTGAGTTAATGATTTTAAACAAATATTTTTAAATTTCTCTTTTAGATTTGATGTTTCTTTGGTGATATTTTTTGGGGGATGATTATATTTTTATCTTCTGGTACATAATGTGAAAGAATTTCTTTTTTTTTTCATCATCTTTCTAAAAAAGTTTAAAATGTCCTTAACAAAATTTTGCTTTATTAGAAACAAATAAATCAGGCTTGTCAGTGCAATAGATATATATTTTTCATATATATGATCAGGACAAGCAAACGGCCTATTTATTTGCTTTAGAATTATCTGATGTAGCCTGAAAAGAACTCACGAAAATTATATTCTTTTGCTATTGAATTGCTTAAAATAAACAATACACTCCCATGCAAAAAGTTTAGGACCACACGATAAATTGTAAAACAAATGGTTTTCTAAATAACTAACATTTTATTAAGCTATAAAAAGTTATTTATAATTACTTTATTAAATAAAAGCTAATTTTTTTAATATTATTTGTAAGTAACAAATAAAACATCAGAAATTTAATAAGCATCATTTTGCTGATCATTATTAATCATATTTAAGGCATGTGACTTTTCGTGAATAAAAAAAATAATTCATATAATTATATTTATTTAAATCATAATTATTAAAAGTATTTAATTTGTGACAAAAAAAAAGGAACCTGAAAACCCATACAATTGATAGAATTAATATATACTAAAGTTTCTTTAGTAAAAAAGGAATAATTTTCAATAAAAAAAATGAAAAAAAAAATTATTTCTTGATATTTACTTTTATAAAATATGATAAAAGGATTTATTAATATCTTGTGGGATAACCATAGGCTTTTATAACTGCTTCTACTCGACGATTCATGCTTTCAACAAGATTTTAGTAAATTTTATCTGAAATCTCTAACCAATATTGTTGAAGAAGTTCTTCTAATTCCCTCACATTCCTTGGATTTTTTTGCTTTAATCAGATTCGACGCTCAAGCTCATCCCATAAATGCTCTATAGGATTAAAATCAGGACTTTGTCCTGGCTAAGGTAACTAAGTTATATCTATTTCTTCAATAAAGTTTCATGTTCGTTCACTTGTATGAATTGGTGCATTATCTTATTAGAACAAATATTCTCCATTTTGTTCTTCAAATTCCTCTAAAAATGGGACTAAATGGTAGCCAAGGATTTCTTGAATATATCTTTCACTATTTATCCAATCATTAACCCTTATCAAATGGCCTAACCCATACCAGAAAAAGCATCCCATATCATACTCCTCCACCACTATATTTTACAGTTGGAACAAGGCAATTAATATTGTATTTTTCTTTAGAAAACCTTCAAACTCGAATTTTTCCATCATTCTAAAATAGAGTAAATCTAGACTTGTCACTTTACACAACTTTTTCCAGTCATTTATAGTCTATAGATGCCTTTTACAAGCCCAATTTAAACGAATTTTTCAGTTATTCTCATTTATATTAGGTTTTCTAAGGGCTGTACGACTGTTATATCCTATTTCATATAATGTTTTTTCATAGTTCGCTTACATATTACATTTCTAGTAGACTTAATAAAAATTTCTTTTATTTTTTCAACGGGTTCACGCTGGTTTTTGACAATAATAGTCTTAAGATAACGCTTATCTCATTCAGTTACTTTCTTAGGACGTTCACTTCTATTAGCAACAGAAATAGCACCCTTCTCACAGTATTTTATTATTATATTATGTACTGTCATTTTGCTATAACCTGTTTTTTTTAAAATAGCCCTTTTAGAGTCACCAGCTTCATAAAAGCTGATGACTTTACCATGTTTAAAATCTGTTAGTTCTTTTCTTTTAACCATTTTATAGAAACAACAGTGTGATGGATAAAATTTTAGATAGATTTAATTGGTAGAATAGGAAGTCAATTTTATTGTCATATAGATCTTTTATGAAGACCATTTTGTCCATTTTATTGCCATCGATCAATTATGTAAATTATTAGATGTCAATTTTATTGCCTTGATAATTATGTAGATCATAGATATCCATTTAATTGCCTGCAGATCTGACAATTTTATTGACACGGCAACATTATTGCCTAGCAAAATAGCAACTTTATTTTCTTCAATATATTTAGTTTAGTTTATTTTATTATTTATTCAACATGTATAAATATCTCTGTATTTTCTTTGAGTCTTAGCATTGACGAAATATTAATCTTTTAGGTATCAAACTTATATATTATATTAATAAAGGAGTATAATTAATTAAGTATAAAACTTATCCTTCGCAAATCCATTGAAACTGTTATACATTATCTGTGATCCTTTGCATTTGTGTAATCTCTTTTATTAGTTAACTTATTATATGATATTGTATTGATTTATTGTATTGACTTGGAGTCTCTGAAGCGTTATCTTTAAAATATCTTTGAGTTATCTTTGTGTTTATTTTGTATTTATCTTACATGTTTATTATTGAGAATAATTCTTCAACGTTATTGTAAATCCTCACCTGTGATTCTTTAAGTAATTGTCTTAGTTTTATTTACCCTTTTTGAGATTTTATTTGAAGTTACAAAATCAACATAACAGTGTAATTATATTGAATGTTATATAATGAATCAACTGTGACTATTGTTTAGAGTAAAGATGGCATCTCAATTAGTTGCAACAAGTGACAAATAAGCATTATAATATTGTAACGAATTGCAATATTATTAAAATTTAGGTTGCACAGATGACAAATAAGCGTTACAATATTGTAATGCCATCTTTAGTTTAGAGTAATTCAATTTTTTTTTAATTTTTAATTTTTTTATTTTTTGCTATTTTCTCTCTTTTCTTACCTTCTCACTTTTTCTCTTCCTCTCATTTTCCCTCCTCTTTTTTCTTTTTGTAGAATATGGCTTAAATTTTGAATTTCTTAGAGATATATCTTTTGATAAATTTTAGATAAGTAGAGCTCTTTATTAAGAAAGAATATTATTAATGTTCTTTTTTCTTTTTTATTCTTTTGTAGAAACAGTTTCTAGGAATATTTTGATCTTTAAATTTTAAAAAATAGGTTTTGAATAAGATGGATCAGTGATATCCATTTTAGATATTCTAAAGATTTGTTATTCTAGCTATATATCCTAATCTATTCTACACTATGTTCTAAATATTCTATCTGTCTCATCAGTGTTTTATTAGTGTTCCATCAATATTTTATGATAATACTAGAATAGGTTCTTCTTTTAGAAAGAACATTTTTTTTTCTTTTTTATAGAAACGACTTCTAGGAATTTTTGGACTATAAAATTACTCTTAAATCAATTCTTGGAAAATAAGTTTTGAATTGCAAAATTGTGTGAGGTTCTACTTTAAAAAGAATATTACTAACATTCTTTTTCTTTTTTTTTTTGTAAGAATAGCTTTTTAGGAGCATTTTGTATCATGAGTTAGAAGGTAGATTTTAAATAATAAAGTACTTCTTTAAAAAAGAACATTATTAACGTTTTTTTCTCTTTTTTTTTATAGAATAGCATTATAAAAACATTTAGATCATAAAATTCTTTAAATCAGCTTTAGATCAGTTTTTGAAAGGTAATTTTTAATAAGATAAGATTTTTCTTTTGAGAAAAAATGTTACTAACATTCTTGTTCTTTTCTTTTTTGTCAGAATGGTTTTTAGGAACCTTTGAGCCATAGAATTTCTCTTGAATCAGCTTTGAATCAGTTCTTGGATGATAGATTTGAATGGATAGGATTCTTTTTTAGAAAAGATTATTACTAATATCTTTTTTCTCTTTCTTTCTTATAAAGACAGCTTCTAAGAATCTTTGAATCATAAAATTTTCCTTGAATCAACTCTTTGATCAGTATTTAAAGAATAAATTTAAATATGAATTCTTTTTTAAAAAAGAATATTATTAATATTCTTTTTTCTCTTTTTTTTTGTAGGAATAGCTTCTGAGAACCTTTGGATCATAAATTTCTTTTGGATTAGCTTTAGATCAGTTCTTGAAAAATAAGATGAATTCTTCTTTGAGAAATAACTTTACTAATATTCTTTTTCTCTTTTTTTTTTATAGAACAGCTTCTAAAAATCTTTGAATCATAGAATTTCTTTTAAATCAGCTTTGAATCAGTTCTTAGAAGATATATTTTAAATAGTGTAGAATTCTTCTTTAAGAAAGAATATTAATAATGTTCTTATTTCTTTCTTTTTTTATAGGAATAGTTTCTAGGAACCTTAAATCATAGAATTTCTCAACTTATTTGTATTTTATAAAACATACAATATAAATTATATAATACAATAGTTTTTTATTTAATAATAAATATTAGACTAGTTGACAATATGACTATTATACAAATTTTTTTGATATATTAAAATTAAAAATAAATAAATAAATAAATTATTCAAATATTATATTTCTTTATTATTATTATTATTATTTTTTGGCTAATA